AGTTGTAGTTTAGCAGAGGTTCCTTTAAAAAAAAAAAAAGTATCATGGATCTTTTCAATACAAGGCGTGAAACGTCTGGATGAACCAGAATCAACACCGTAACAAGACAACAATTTCCAAAGGTTCCAGGTTGACTGTTTAAACATGAATGCAATCCAGATTGTTTTCATTTCATGAGTGCTTTGCAAGAATCGTAAACTAGAGGAAGATTTGCTTTCAGTTTATCACTCCCTCCGTAATGTGTAAGACAAATAATTGATTTGCATTTAACTATATTGCAGAATAGTGAAATTTAGTTTTGGGCTATTGTGAGTATCACCAAGTCTCTCTGTGTGTGCCTGCTGTTAAACAAGCAAGCAAACAAACAATCAAAAATTGCTCTGGATATTTTTATTTAATAACAATAGCACTTAGACTTACATACCGCTTTACAGTGCTTTACAGCCCTCTCTAAGTGGTTTACCCCTGTTACCCCATTTACTTCCTTTTACCCATCTCGGAAGGATGGAAGGCTGAGTCAACCTTGAGGCTGGTGGGATTTGAACTGCCAAACTGCAGGCAGCCAGCAGTCAGCAGAAGGAGCCTGCAGTACTGCACTCTAACCACTGCGCCACCGAGGCTCATAAAATAGAACCCACAAAAGATAATGGGCAAAGATGGGTTCATCTCAAGAATCCAAAGAGAGACTACAAACCCAGAATACTAGAATAACAGAGTTGGAAGGGACCTTGGAGGTCTTCTAGTCCAATCCCCTGTTCAAGCAGGAAACCCTAAACTATTTTAGACAAGTGCTTGTCCAATCTCTTCTTAAAAACTTCCAGTGTTGGAGCATCCACAAGTTCTGGAGGCAAGTCCAGAGAACACTGGTTAATTGTTCTTACTGTGAGGAAATTTCTGATTAGTTCTATGTTGGTTCTCTCCTTGATTATTTTCCACCCATTGCTTCTTGACCTAACTTCATATGCTTTGAAGAACAAGTAGACCCCCCTTTTCTTTGTGGCAGCTCCTTAGATTTTGACTGCTATCATGTTACCCCTATTCCTTCTTATCATTAAACTAGACATACCCAACAGTTTTTGGCAGTGGTAATAGAATAGAGATGTAGGGATTGATTGGCTTTGTCTAATGGTATCTCTACATCCAACCTGAGCAGAGTCATTAATCTAAAATCCCAGATTCCAGTCTCCTTTTGGATGAACTAATTCCTTGATTTTGTAATCCTAATTGAGGGAGTTAGGAAGTTGAGAATGCCGCAAAAATGTCCTCAGCCAATGCACATGGACAGCCTAGATAAATACAGAAGTGCCAGAAACAGTCTTAGTGAGGGGGAAAAAAGGAAAGGAAGGAGAATAAGGAGAAGGTCATGGAATATAGTTATTTCAGAAGTTGTGGAAAGCTGTACCACAAAAATGATCACAATCTGACAATCAAGACAAGTGGAAGAACAAAACCGATCTCTATCCATTCAAAACTTGGAAATGAAGGCAATTGAGAAGCTAACTGAATACAGGAATGGATGGCTATGTACACAACGAAAAAGATAGATATGAGACATACAGAGCTTCAGAATGTTATTTAAATCCATAGAGCTTGTTGAATCCATCTTCAGCTTGGGAGTAATAGGTTAATCACAATCTACAAAATATACGCTGGTATAAGAATTGTCTTCAAAATCTGCAAGTATTCTACAAAGAGGAGAGGAGACGAGAGGAGACGAGAGAAGAGGAGAGGAGAGGAGAGGAGAGGGACTAAGAAACTAAATTTTAGTAATTTCAACAATGTATGTATAGTTTTCTCTCACACAGAAGGATCAATATAAATTGAGAAATAAAAATTCAATTATGGAATCTGACTTATGAGCTCTTTATCATGATTTCTTTGTATGTATTGCCCACTCTGTCTCAGCAACAGTTAATCAGCTTTGAATTATCTACAACAGAGCATTTTTTTTAGCTAGTCAATACTAATAGCTCAAAAGTTGAGCCTGAACAAACACCATACAGTTTTGTGCTGGCAATAACGAAACCCAAAATATCCATTCATACTTTCCCCATGGATTTCTGTGGATCATTCTCTACTGATTACAAGTTATTTTCCTGAACCTTTTGCATTTGAATATATTAATGATTCCCCCACCCCCCCCAATAATTCTGGAAGTTAATTCGTATTGAGTATTTGGGGTGGAGGAAAGAACCTGTTCTAGGGTTTTTATCATCTTTCCTTTACAGTACAAAAGATAAAAAGAATATCAACATATTTAAAGATGTAAATCGCATTAGAAAAAAAAAAAAACCCCAACAAGTTATCTTTTGATGTTTCTCCTATTTTAAACTACCATGTTATTGATTGCAACCAATTGTGTAATTCCACAAGCACAACGCAATTACTGCTTGGTAAATCCTTTTTTTCATCCCTGCAAAAGTGTGACATCCAATATTCTGATTTCCCCTGTGCAAGCCACTAAATGATTCCTTGTGATTTCATTACACTGATGTCTGCTTATGCTGGCTGTACGTTAATCAATTTTTGTGCACCTACATGTGGAATAATTCCAACACTTCATGGCTGCATTATTAAGCCCTGAGAATTTTTTTAAAAAACATCATTAGGCTAACTCTAAGACTTCCTATTGTCTTCAAGAATATCTTAGGACCATCATTCCTATCAAAAAGGCTTAAAGGAAAGAACTTCTCAGCATATATCTCCCAGAGGTAGGTATTGTAGTTCTTCAGTATAATCTAAAGAATTGTGAGGCATCTAGAAGAGATCAAAATGTATTACCGCTGAAGCTTTTATGAATATCAAGATTGTGATTCAACTCTGCTTTTGGGATTGTTAAATGTGAATGCCAACTATTAAGATTTGAGTTGAAGTTGCAAAGCATGCAATAATTTCCACTGCTTATCAAAAAGTATGGTCCTGGGAAATGTAGGATGTGTGTTTGTGTGTGTGAGAGAGAGAGTGTGTGTTTAGTTTAAGAGTTTGTTGAATAGATCCAAAAATTTCATGAATGGATGGATGCAACTCAACTTGAAATAAATTCAAAATCTTAAGGGACATAGGATTTTGGATTCTTAAGTCTTTCTCGCTTTTATTGGTGAGGTGGTTTTAATTAAATTTTACCAACCCCTTTGGTTTAATACCTTGAGGTAACCTTTTTACACTTCAGAGGTTTTCGATGAAACTGCCAAATGTACCTTGTAAGATGGTAATGTTTGTATGTGTGTGAGCGCTGTCTTAAAAATAGCTTACATGTTTATATATTATATTAAAGAAAATATCATCTTTGATCACTGTACACCAAATATTTCATTCCTGAACTCTGCTATAATTTACACCTGGATGATGGAACATCTAGTTACGAGAACATTTTCTCTAATACTGACCCCCTACAATTCAGATCCAAAACTTTCCTGAAGAATAATTAGCAAAAGCACCAGCACTGTGGTGAAAATTCATAAAAGCTATGCAAAGTTCTGCAACAGGGAATCGACCATCTGTTTCTAATTACATAAGTGATGGCAAACACTGTTACATTCATTACATTTAATTGATAAGACCCACATTTAACCTAATCTGAATTTAATTTAGAAACCACCTTCATATTTTATCCATGTGTGCCTATAGATTCAATGGCCAGAATGTTCTGATGTCAAAAATTTGGGCTAGTAGAGTTATAATCATTGTCAAGGCAAATTTTGTGGCTTTGTTCCTTTGGGATCATACGAAAATAAGATTCATTTATATGGACTACATATTTATTACAACCTCTTTTGCATTTTGCAAAGCCTTTCTTTTTTCCTCAAAATGTGGATGGATGGACAATTGGACAGGTTTTTAATTTCTTTTTTTTTTTTCCCCAAGGTGAGACATACCTGTAATTTTGCTAAAGCTCTGATTTTAATAATTCAATCAGATGAGAAAAACAGGACACCGTCATTGCACATAAAGATAAGAAACTACATTTTTGAGATTGTTAACACGTTGAAAGGTGACTTATCTGTGCTTAAAAGCACTTTGCTGTAACTTTTTATGCCTGCAGCTCTCAAAGATTTTGGTCTCAGAACCACTTTAGATTCTTAAAAATGATCAAGGACCTTTAAAGAGCTTGGCTTATCTAGGTCATATCTATCAATATTTACTGGTTTAATGCCGATGAAGCAGTGGTGGGATTCATTTTTTTTTACAACCGGTTCTGTAGGCGTGGCTTGATGGGTGTGGTGTGGCTTGGTGGGTGTGGCTTGGTAAGCGTGGCAAGGGAAGGATACTGTAAAATCTCCATTCCCTCCCCACTCCGGGGGGAAGGTTACTGTAAAATCTCCATTCCCTCCCCACCCCACTAACCTGCTTTCCAGCTCCCTTCTTCTGTGCAGGGCAACCAAAGAAGACCCAGCCAATCATCTGGGACTCAATGGGAGGCAGACAATAGGTGGGGGAGTCAGAGGAGTTATTTGCCGGTTCTCCAAACTACTCAAAATTTCCACTACTGGTTCTCCAGAATTGGTAAGAACCTGCTGAATACTACCTCTGCCATGGAGATTCTCAGTCATCCAGATCATGGCGGTTCCCAAAAGGTAACTGGACTTCCTTTGTTTTCCTTGAAGACGTTTTAATTCTCATCCAGAATTGAAGAAGCTTCTTGAATGGGAAGTGAAACTTCTTCAAGCAAAACAAAGGAAGTTCAGTTGCCTTTTCACAAACCACCTTTGGTTTCAAAAGTAAAACCAAGAATTTATTTATTTCACTTTGCAGAACTCTGAAAGGTTTTGAGGATTCCTAGTGCCCCAGGCCACACTCCGACAACCACCACTCTTACAATACTTAATTCCATAGTAAAGCAAATTACTTGGTTTCTAGAAAAAGCTAGAAAAAGAACTGTCCATTAGCATTACCCATCTTTACAATTTCCATGGTCCCACAAGGAAGAAATGAAACGTTCAAAAGACCTTCCCACATGTTAGCAGATCAAAAAGCATCCCACGTTTTATCTTTTGATCTACCTTTGCTTGCACTTTCTACATGTTCAAGTTCATCGGGGAATTTTAGGATGTCTTGATATTTCTCTTCACAAATATCAGCCAGGAAATGCAGCAGGGTTGTTTTTTGATCGGTTGATTTTGTGTCTCTAATCTGCAAAAATGGAAGAAACAAGAAAGAGGTTGAAACATGATTTCTTGGGACTTTGCTTCAAGAAAGCTTTTTCAATATACGTTCTTGGGATTCGCTTGCAAAGATAAGTTAATTGCATTTCTAAGTTAACACCAATATGAAATGTGGGCTTCAAATATTATTTTTAAAGAACCCTTATGTTAGATATTGTTTTTTTAAAGCAGGCAGCCTTTAGCAGTTTATAATTTTAGTTATAATGCTCATTGTTCACTCTGTGAAATAAAGAAGTGCTCCAATGGAAGGAAAATAACATCTATTTTGTTGTTTTATATGACTTTCTCCTGAAATTCTGTCTGACTATATGTGGAGTGGATGATATATATGACTGTGGATGATTCTAGAGTTATATATGCATATGTACACACACACACACACACACACACACACACACACACACACACACACACAATTATCAGGATTTGTTGTTTGTTTTAGTTGAGTAATGACATGACCAGCCAAACATAATACAGATATTATAAGTTATGCCAATATTCATTTCTTAGCAACCAACTAGAATCTGCCTTCTTGTAACCATTTCTATATCCTGGATTTGGGAATAAAGAAATTGTGGCTTTCTTCTCTCCGTCATTGTTCTGACCCACGCCCTTTTCCAACAAATCAAACACAATCCAAAGAGAACAGAAACCGTTTAATGCTTCTGCAAAATAATTAGCTGTGATAAGCACAAGACTTGCCAAAATGTGCAAGACTTGCCAAAAGATAACAGACAAGAAATAATGTGCAATACAAGAATCTTCAAATACAAACTCAGGATTCTGGAATGTCCATGAGGCTGGAATTTCAAAACGTCTTTGCCTTCTGCAAAGAAGGTTAGTTTCACAGCTGGCTTTTATCTTCTTGAAGGAGGGGCCATTACCTTGCATCCTTACTCCCAAGTCGCCCGTGCTGTTGTAGTTGCTCTTTCCTGCGAGCAATCCTGTGCACATGCGCACTTGGCACAGGCTCCTCGGGAACTTCCTCATCGCTGCTGCCAGCCCCACAATCTCTGAAGGCAGCAGCCCACTCCCTAATGGTCCTGGCCCCTCATCTGAGTCCTTGCTCTCCTCAGCCGTCCGCACCTGCTGCCGGCTAACGACAATAGTCATCCCTTTAGTTCAGGGGTGTCAAACTCAAGGCCCACGGGCCAGATTTGGCCCACAGGGTGCTTAGATATGGCCAGCGGGGCCGCCCTGGAAAGAGCAAAGGACTGACCCCGCAGTGCATCTGCCAGAGAAAACAGAGCTCAGGAGGGGCTCCTGCACTCCATTTTCACCGGCAGAGGGTTGCAGGAGGCCGTCACAACAGAAAACGGAGCTCACAAGTCAATTTTGGTTGGCAGAGCACTTAAGCCGCCACAGACACCACCGATACAAGTGAGGTCAAGCTGGCCACCCCCCCCCCCCCCCCCCCCCCCCCCCCAAGGTCAACCCCACCCCCCAACGAAATCAAGCTTGACATCCCTGCTTTAGTTCCTTAAAACGTCCTAGTGGATTCCCACCAATGGCCTTTTTTTTTTTTTTCCAATTCAAAAGATGCCTGGTTTTAGGTCTCTCTTTGGTTTCCAATCTCTTAATTGTCTGTCTCTGTCCACTTATCAATCTAGCTAAATCTTTTGTAAAATGTGGTGCCCACAACTGGTCAAGGCATTCAAGATGCAATCTGATCAACTCAACAAAAAGGATCATTACATTCTGATTTGGAGACTGTCCTTCTACTTCAGTTGCCTGAAATTGTGTTTGCCTTTTTTTTTTTTTTTTTTTTGCAGCCAGATGTTCCACTTCAATTTCTGATCAAATATAATTCCAACTTCGTTTTTTAATATGTGCTGTCCTCAAATGAAGTATCCTCTGCACAAATCTCAGTTTCTTTGTACTAAATGTTTCTATTCTATTCTTGCCAGACACTGTTTGTAAGGACTGTTCATACAGCTGCATCATAGATTTATTCAAGCCTATACAAAATAATCTGATTAATTAAAGTTCAACACCAAACTGGCGCTAGATAAGGGTTAGCAGCAATTCGGGAGGGGATGGACTTGGAGCACTTGTGGAAATGCAATGGTTCTAATGCATTCTGATGACATACTTAACTCCACCCCTCAGCTCTGCCTGCTTTTCTTATTCTATCCTTATCCTTACCTATTCCATTCCATTCCATTCCATTCCAATCCAATCCAATCCTATTCTACTCTCTATTCTCTACTCTGCATTTTATTGTATTCTCTATTCTCCTCTTTCCTCTCTCCTCTCCTATTCCTATTCCTAGTCTATTTCCTTATTCTATTCTAATTCCCTACCCTATCCTATCCCATCCTAATTTTTTTTGTTATCTACCAGAATCGTATTTTTCTTTGCCCATCTCTGTGTACTTTGTTAAATAAGCACTTAAGCACTCCCCATACCTTTTCAAACCATTAATAAAAATGCTGAAGAGCTCTAGACCTAGGGCTGAACCTATCTGCACTCTATTCAACATTTCATTTCAGGCTGATGAGAATTTGCTATAAATATTATATGACTTTTGTTTTAAATGAGATGTGAATCCACTAAATAGACGTGACAACCAGCCCAAATTTAACTTACTAATCAGAATGTCTGCTGCATTTTGCATTGTTCGAATAGCAACAATTGTGAAAATGCTAAACAACCTCCAATCAATTTATAGACGCAAAACTTTGAAAGCTACCACAACGATGTGGTAATCTCCTGACTACTAATGAGGCTGTGGGTTTATTCAAACACTTTTTTTTTCCTGAATCATAGTTGTATAAATATTAACAGTTCAATGAATCAACAATCATGAATGCTTCAGTGCATATATCAAAACTACTACTTCTGCCTGCCAGCCTTGATGCAGTCCATGAATTCTAATGGAAGTCTCTTTTATTTAAGCAAAATTAAGTCCTGCAATTCTCTGCCAAGGGTTGCTTACAAATTTCTGGTTTCCACACGCTGCAATATAACATCCGGATAGATAATGCATTTTTAAGGATTTGCAATCAACATAAAGATATTAGTTTTGCAGATAGAATCAGACACATTTAACGCATAGCTTCCAAGATGTTTTTTTTTTCCCTATATCTGTCGCTGAAAAGTGATTTTTCCCAGTGATTCGGGATCAAAAGTGCCCAGGGCTAGATTTGCACAAATCAACAGCACTGTTGCTGATTATATCAAGATAGTTGACAGTTGATGGGGGAGCTTCAACGCAGTCCTCTCAATTAAAAAGGGTAAGGATACCATCTGTTGCTTCTAGGAGATCGCTTCCCAATAAGGAAAGCTGAGATTAAACTCTCAGTGTACAAAACGAATCTCTTAACTTTTTCTTCAAACTGACATGTGAACATAGTTATTATGCCCCTTGCATTCTAGTATAACATCATTCCCAGTTAAGGTTGCCCTTTCAAAACCAGCAACCTGATTTGAAACTCAAATTACAGTAGTTCAGACCAGTCATGGATTGCAAATGGGATTTTACTTAGTGTTACAGATCACAATAGCAATAGCACTTAGATTTATATACCGCTTAACAGGGCTTTACAGCCCTCTCTTAAGCGGTTTACAGAATCAGCCTATTTCCCCCAACAATCTGGGTCCTCCTTTTACTCACCTTGGAAGGATGGAAGGGTGAGTCAACCTTGAGCCTGGTGAGATTCGAACTGCCAAATTGCAGGCAGCCAGCAGTCAGCAGACGTAACCTCAGTACTATACTCTAACCCAGAAGTCCACAAGCTTTAAGACTTGTGGACTTCAATTCCCATAATTCCTCCTCCAGTCATGTTAGCTCAGGAATTCTGGGAGTTGAAGTCCACAAGTCTTAAATTTGCCACGTTTGAAGACCTTTGCTCTAACCACTGTACCACCACGGCTCATTTAAATAAAGGTAAAGTCATGTCCAGTCGTGTTCAACTCTAGGTATTGGAGCTTCTTGGTTAGCCAAGGGAGCTGACATTGTCCAAAGACATTTCCATGGTCATGCGGCCAACATGACTGTACACCAAGGCACATGGGACGTTGCTACATTCCCACCAAAGTGATACCTATTTATCTACTCGCATTTGAATGGTTTCAATGCTGCTGGGTGAGCAGGAGCATTGTGTGGTGCTCAAGGCTCGAACCCGGGCTGACAGCTTTTCAGCTGACAATCCCAGCATCCTTAGCTGTTGAGCCAACACACTTCCCTTTGTAAAAAAATAAGGCAAAAAATAACACAAAATGCAAGTCTATTCATGACCCAGTAAAAGCTACTCTACCACAAACATCTTTATTTTAGTACTGTATGTTTGCAGTTTGCCTCTCCAGTCATAACTACAACCTGTATTTACAACCCACAATTTCCAACCGTATATTAGTAGCATAATGTTTTTCTTTAAATTTGACATTTAGAGTCAGCTGCACATCTCTTTTTATTGTAGTGATTATGAACTGTAACTTTTTAATTGCCCTTATTACAAGTTATATTTGATAAATAAAACAATGTGAATATACAAGAACGGATTAGCCTTAAAATAATACAACCATCTTTCTCATCTCATTTTTTCCAGAGAACTATGATCTTGGCCACCCTCATTAACACAACTAGAGTAATAGTGGATAAAAGTATCATAACCACAGACTCAGATCTAGATATATATTTAGTTTCTATTTATTAACGATGTTCTCATATAATTATCTATTTTCAACTCTACAAGGACATTAAACTATATAAAACAAAACAAAATACATGCTGCAATTCAGTAAATTTATAATCAAATTGTAAAATATATAAACAAGTTACCTCAAATATCCTCAATTTTCAAGGTTATTCTGAAACAAGGATATTATTTCTTATTCCTACTCACTTTAAGAGAACTATTATAGGTCTAATTTTCCAGCAGAATGTATAGTTGGACAAAAAAGAGAGATACATCCACTTAGCTACTTCATACATCTGAGATCTTACAGAAATTAGTCTTTAAAGATTTCAGAGCCAGGAAAGGAAGGCACTTATAAAATAGAATAAAAAGAGGCAAAACTAAAGACAATCTTCCTAATTCATTAATAAGAAACAGTGACTGATGTGGAGGGTACATCCATGTTATAAATTTATTTCTTGATTAAAGTGATGTTCATTATAGATTAACTTTGGCACAAATTTATTTATTTTTCTTTAATACTAGTGATTGAACACCAGAGAGAGAGAAACTACAAAAGCTGGAATTTGACGCTCGGGCCAAACAGCTTGACAGTCTCATTCAAATCCACACAAATGCTTATTGTACATTTTCTAAAGACTTAGTTGTAATTGCAATTTCTGATAGCACCATCACAGCAAAGCCATCCCAAATACATTTGAAGCTACTCTATCAACATTGCAATAGTTATCTCCTTGGAGGTCTGGCATGCTACGTTTAGAGAAATGCACCCAGTAATTCACGCAGTATTAATTATGGACGGGAGGGCCTATAAATCAGGTTAATCCATGCTAGAATCATCTCTGTGTCCGGATATACAAAAGATTTAAATGGCAACTTTTTCATAACATGCTCTTTCAAATGCTACTTTAATCTCCTCCTTCCCCCCAAAAAAACAGGTCTGCTGCTGTTACTATACCTTTTCACTTTGCATTAATGCTATTATTTACTGTGCTGCAGCCACTAAGGAAGATATTATTTCATTCCCAATTCTGTTGGATAATGGTGAGTGAAATTAAGCTGTCATTTGGATTAAACCTCACATTCTCATTTCCCCAGATTGGATTCAAAAGACTTATCACTGTTCTATCCCCCCCTCCCTTCATACAAACAAGCAAACAGGTCTGGGATTTACACGAAGAAGCACATAAACCACAAATGTATTCAGAGTTTGCAACATTAATTCAGCGCCAGAAAAATACACATAGATGGCTGATGCTTCATTTAATGTCTTTATAAACATAATAAGTAAATTTTACAAACCCAGTGTAGATTTCTCCAACATGGAGCAAACTCAGACAGAAACATGTTGCAAGTAACTTCAGTAGCAACTCAGGAACTCAAAAACAGACACCAGTTTCACTTTAGTTCAGCAGGCAAGCAGTATACACAGCAGAGGAGAGAAGCAGTTTCATTTTTAATAGACAGACTCTGAGCTCAACATAGCTGCAGAGTTGTAGAGCTTAATATAGAGCCACGCCTAAGCTGCTTCTAGTTTCAGATTCCAAATGGTCCTCATTGGCTGACTTATTATGCTATGCCTATTCATTGTGGGACCTTGTTATCATGCTCTATTCCAGTTCATGAATATACTCTGATAAAACATCCACGGTAGTTAAGTAGTTTATCTATCATTTAAGTATCTATCACCTGCTCCTCAGTACTTGTTACTATGGGTAGGACTTGGGAAGTAGAAGCAACATTCCAGTTTAAAAGGATATTTTATAAACACATGCACACAGAGGAAATGGGTGGAGAAAAAATGTACTGGCACTCGAAAAATGTATTTTTATACCGTTTACACTCACCTTGCAAAGAAAACTAATATTAAAACCCAGCGATTGGGCATTTCTTGAGCCGGAATTCATGTAGTTCCCAATCATTAGCACAAGTTCTAAAAGCCTAGTGAAGCTTTCACTCTTCTTCAGCTCCTCACATGCGATCGTGACAGCCATGATGCCTGGCTTGATGTTGTTGATGTGCTCTTCAAACGTGAGCTTGAAAAGGATCCCGTTGAGACGAGGCTGCAGCAGTTTCACTGAGCTCATCTGGAAAGGAAGAGGAGGAACGGGTGGGGAAAAATAAGTTGCTTCAGACAATGAAACAGATGAATAGCAACATTTCTAGGGGATTTTTCCACGGGCATAGGAATGTACAACTTATCTAAATTAGGTACTTGTTGGTTGGTTGGTTGGCTGCCTGGATGGTAGGGTGATTGGTTGGTTTTTCAACCTAAGGAAAATAAAAATTGTTCCCAGGCTTAATTAATTAATTCCATGGACAGAAAAACACATGGAAGGGAGGGGGGAAGGATGAAAGATATATATAGAGGGGGGGAGAGAGATGGAGATGGAGAGAAGGAGGGGGAGAGGGAGAGAGGGAGGGGGGAGGGAGAGAGAGGGGTGGGTGGGGAGGAAGATGGAAATTTTGGATCCTGGCAACTTGAATGAGTAAATACTTGAAGTTTTCTAGCCAGCAAGAAGTAGTTGAATTTTTTTTTTTCTAGGACCAAAGAGAAAAACTGGCCCAAGGTAATCTAGTTGGCTTTGGTCTCTTCTTTCTAGCTTGGTGACTTTAGCCACGGCTCCCATCACTATCCCATACTTATTTGTTCATTCATTCCCCATCAAGTACTATTGACCTCACCCCCTTCCTTAGCAGCCTGTAGGGGGCATGCATAAGCGCACCAATTGTGCCTACCATCCCTGTCCTTTTTTTTTTTTTTTCTTATCAGTATCTATCTCATGTATTCAAAACTATATTTATTCTTATACCTGTATCTTGTAAGCAATTACCAAATCAAATAAATACTAAAAAAAATACTACAGTTTACTAGTCCTTTATGCTTAGTTTACTGTTTGTTTTAGTTTGCAAAGAAGTCAGCTCATCAACAACATAAATAACTTAAGTAACCAAGAAACAAAACCTGAGACAAATTGTACCTTCTGATGTACCATTTAACTTAAAATCTGGTCTTCATTCACCTTTGCTAGGCATCACAAATGTTTGTATTTACCAACATACAATTACAGAATAGCTTTACTGTACCATAAAAGAAGTGTGGCCCTGAAATATTGAATAAACATTATAAGGCATGTTATTTGATGATTCTTTTTTCTGCTTTCCCAATAACACATCCTGTCATTTTATTTCTCCAAATAGTTTTATCAATGCCCATTTGAGATAGTAAAAACACCTATTTTTTTTTTTCCTTTTCTTGATGATATTTTCCAAAGTGATATTATTGTAGAGATTTCTACATACAGTGCATTTTCAAGAACCATTATAACAAAACTCAAGTTTCCCATTATCTTAATCAAAGCCCTTGTGATATGCACTGCCGAAGATTTATAGAACAATATTTCATCTCCATTAAAAAGATGTTGATCTCTGTTGCAGAGCTTCTATTATGGTTACTAACAGCATAATAATCGTGCAAATAATGTTGATGTATACAAACAAGAGCATGAACAGATACAATTGCTAAATGTTTTTTAGTGTCGCTGCAGAATTATAGCTTATTAAGCCTTGTACACCTGGAAAACAATTTGACTGAAAATGATGACAGTTGTCAGATCTGAATCTATGTTGCATTTCATAAGGGTTAGATTCTGGTTTTATGATTCACTATGTAAAGTGCCCACGGATACTGAATGCAATTGCATAATATGTAAAGGTTTAGACATATTATGAAGTCACTGTCCATCAAAACACCACCAAGGAAATTTCATTTTTCAAACTGATAATATTAAAAAGAGGTGGCAACAATGAAAGCTGTTACAACTACAGACCATCCGATAGACTTATGATTTTGCTACTTAAAGCATTTCCAAATGTTTTTTTCCTTCTTTGAGCACCTAATATAATCAGACTCTTTCACCCTCTTTCAAGTGGGTTATTTTTCTGTCATCCTGAAGGTCAAATGGTATTCTTAAAAGGAGTTAAATCTATAATTCATGTCAGACAGAGAAAAGTTAATTCCTCTAAATTGTATTCTAATCCAATCATGCATCTACATGCTTGGAAAGCTGGCTTGTAATATTTAAGAACTAAATACATTTTTTGCTTAATATTTTTTTCTGATCTTCCAATAAAGATTAAGGATGGAGCAGGGAAGAAAAAAGGGAGTGAATTAGAACAGTATAGTGAGAACTGAAGAAATAATAAATACAATTAACATTATTGTACTTGAGATATGTATGTGGCAATTTAATTGTATATTTGTTGTTAATGTTTTCTTTAGATTGCCATGTGAAATTCATAAAACATGTCAGGAAGTGCTTATTAAATACTAAATTATTTCTTTGTTTCTGAGAAATCCCAAATAAGAAACATTAAAGCATCAACATCAAAACTATAAACAGTTTTGAGCATGTCAATTTTCATATTTGAAACTTAAGATATCACTATAGCAACTTTTGTTTTCTATCATTCAATTTCATCTTCCTCAAAATCACTGCAAAACTTTTTTTTTATTACACTAGGATACAATTCCAAACTCTGTACCTAATTTGAAGATATAATTCATCTTAATGTTTCATCTAAATGAAAATGTGATGCTCCAATTTTCATGCACAAATAAGAATATTAAGCTAATTAGACTATTATAATAAGTCACCTAATTAGAAAGTGTGATTTTTCTAAATGAATTTTAAACATCTAATTTTGACCTTTATTAGGTTTGATGGGTATATTGATTATCCAATTAAAGCCTTATATTAATCATTAACTTACCTAATGTGTATATGCAAATAGGTGCATGCATTCTGAAGAAAGAAAACACCTTCAGATACGAATTGCAAGCAACCTATACTTTTTAAACACCAGGGCTCAGGTTATTATAACCAGGGGTCCTTTTAGCAATGATGTGTTTTTTTTTAACTGCAGGCTGAATAAGAGGAATCTATAAAAATGATTAGATTTTATAAGCAGCATAGGATATTTGAAGGGTGTATTTGAATAGTGATCCTCTGATTCCATCATTTAACAAGACTCTCTAACAAACAGCACATTTTCTACATGTATATGTATGGGAAAAGTTGATTTTCAATTAAAATGTGGAGTTAGATGTCTTGTACATCTCGGTGACTTAGTTAAAAGCTGTCAGGCTAAGGCCAAAAACAATGTAGAATCATCCAGACAAAATTCAGTTCTTTATTCGCGTACATACAACAGACAGAATCTTGCCAGACTAAACTCTTCTCTTATCCAAATGGATATGTATGGGAGGCTCTAGGGAGTGGCTATCCTTACACTTTTCCTCTATCTCTTGTCCAGCTATGGGCTGGGTTGTCAATTATCTGCCCCCTCCCCACTTTTTTTCCAGTCTCTAACCAAAGTCTAAATTAAGATAATTCTTCTTCAAAGAATACAAAATGTGGCAAAATAAGATTAGAAATGATTCTGGAAGGTTTAGTTATAATGAATGTATTTGGATCCACATAAGCAAACAGGTCATGAGATTGAAAACATCATCTGAGCAGAGGCTTAAGACTGGAATTAAGCTTCAGACCCAAGCGGTTAAATGGTAATAAAAAGGCAGAGAAGGTGGGTCAAAGACATATTGAAAAGACAAAAAACAGCATCCTTTAGCTCCTAATCACTTTCCACTCACATTCCTGTTCTGTGATCCATAAACAGGTGAATCTTTCCTAAGTCCAGCAGAATTCTTTGTAATACATAAAACAGTAATAAAAATGTAATTTGTGTGTAAGCTGTGGATTTGCAGATAAGTAGAACAACTGTCAGAGATTAATACTCCCTCCCCAAATAAGGCCTCAACACTATGTGAATAAATTATGAATTCCCTACGAGTTTCAACATGGCAAAATTCTCCCATGGATGTGGACTATTATTTTGGATAATAAACAGCAGTTCACCATGTAAGGTGATGTTTTGCTTTAATCTCCTTTTTTTTTTTTTTTACACTATGTGATTATATGGGATGAACTCTGAAAAATTTACTCAGCCTGGACCATCTTGGAATCCAAAGAGACCAAAAAGAAGCTTAAATGACAAGTGTGAGAAAATATGGTGATTCTGTTTTAAAGAAAGAGACATTCACATGTTTTGATGGAGCCCTAAGGGAAGATAAACATACAAAAGAAACAAAGGCTTCTGACAGTATAACAAAAAGAAAACCAGAGGATCTGCAATCAACACCTATAAAACTGTTAATATAGAAATGTAGTTCAAATTGAGTGATATCCTTTTTTCCCCCCTTGCCTAAACTGTACCTCATAGTGTTCCTTGAAGCAATATTTTAGCTTTGATGAAAACTCTAATATTTAGTTTAGAGGAAAATATCAAAGTAACTTCGTATTTTGTCACATTGTTCTGGCCCTTTTTTGCTCCCCAAGAATTTTATAGAAGTATTAATGGATTAAAATATGTATATGCTCGCAGGCCATTCAGCAGCGAAGTTGGAAAAAAGATATTCCAACTATCTTTAATTCTACAATTTATCACGCCATCTGACCCAGCGATTAGGGATCCAGGTAGGGGGCAACATCTAGCTAACCTTGGATCATCATGACAAATAAGGTAAGGCATGATCAGAAGTGGTATTCAGCAGGTTCTGAACACTTCTGGAGAACCAGTAGCGGATTTTTTTTTTTTTTAAAAATTAAATTTTATTTTTAGACAAACATACACAAACACAACATAAAAACATAAAGCCATCTTCCAATTATGTACATACAGTGTGTCAGTTGGTTACATTTTCTTTGTGCATCCTCTCCATAGTCCTCACTTACAATTACTTGTATATATTCTCATATTATCAATCAAATATTTCTAAATACATTATTATCATTGTTAATCATTCATTTGACTGTACTATTGTTCCTTCATGTAATACGAGATATTCCATATTTTTCAATTGATTTATATTATAACAATTCATATTGTTATCCTAAATCCACCCAATAATACATCTTTATATCATATTCTATATAATTCTATTCTACATATATGTAAAATTCTACATATTTCATTACCTTATTTTATTTTCTAACCATTGATAGAATAGATCCCAAACCTTATAAAATTGTTTATCTTCTTGTTCTCTAATTTCAAACGGAAATTTTGAGTAGTTCGGAGAACCGGCAAATCCCACCTCTGACTGGCCCCGCCCCAGATGATTGGCTGGGTCTTCTTTGGTTGCCCTGCACAGGAGAATGGAGCTGGAAAGCAGGTTGGTGGGGAGGGGAGGGAATGGGATTTTGCAGTAACCTTCCCCCAGGAGTGGGGTGGGAATGGAGATTTTGCAGTATCCTTCCTCTGCCACGCCCACCAGGCCATGCCCACAGAACTGGTAGTAAAAAAAAAAAAAATTGCATCCCACCACTGGGCATGATTAAGAATTTAACTAGAGTATAAGTAGAATAAGAATTTTTATGGAGAGGAGAGGAGGGGAAGGGAGGGGAGGACAGGAAAGGCAGGAGAAGGAGAAAGAGAAGGAGAAGGAGAAGGAGGAGAAGGAGAAGGAGAAGGAGGAGAAAGAGGAGGAGAAGGAGAAGGAGAAAGAGAAGGAGAAGGAGAAGGAGGAGAAGGAGAAAGAGAAGGAGAAGGAGGAGAAGGAGAAGGAGGAGAAGAAGAAGGAGAAAGAGAAGGAGAAGGAGAAAGAGAAGGAGAAGGAGGAGAAGAAGAAGGAGAAAGAGAAGGAGAAGGAGAAGGAGGAGAAGGAGAAAGAGAAAGAGAAGGAGAAGGAGGAGGAGAAGAAGGAGAAAGAGAAGGAGAAGGAGGAGAAGGAGAAGGAAAAAGAGAAGGAGAAGGAGGAGGAGGAGAAGGAGAAGGAGAAGGAGAAGGAGGAGAAGGAGAAGGAGGAGAAGGAGAAAGAGAAAGAGAAGGAGAAG